ACACACACACACACACACACACACACAGACTTATTTTGTAGTATATTTTTTCCTTAAAAAGTCAACTTGGAAAGTAATAACAAAGTGTCATATAGTAATTTGAAAGAACTAATACCAGCTTAAGAACTATGTCTGTTTTTGCAGAATAGTGGAAAGAATTGGAGTTGGATGCAGTGAATTGGGATTCAAGTTCTATGCCTATCCTCTATTAGCTGTGTGGATTCGTGATCTGTTAATTCTTAGGAATATCAATCTTATCTCCAACCTGAAAGTAATAATAGCAAACTTACTATACACTTAGTATGTGATAAAAACCATTTTAGAATTTATATGAACCACTTAAAGACCCTATGAAGTAGGCAATATTTTTATTATCATCCCCACTTTATAGATTATGCTTGGGGAGGTTAATAACTTGCCCAAGGCAACTTGTCAAGTAAGTGATGGAGGTAGCAGCTTTCATAACTCAACAGCTTACAGAAATCATGGCCTATGCTTAAAGCTATGTAAGTGTTATGGGTTGAATTGTGTTCCTTTAAAATTCATATGTTGAAGCTCTAACCCTCAACACTCTGCAACCCGGACTTTCATAATACTCCCTCTACAGGACTGTCATGAGGATAAAATTAAAAAATATGTGGTTAGCGTAATATTTATTTTATCTGTTCAGATTTGACCATGCATAAAGAGGAATGGTACCAACATTCTGATGCCAATGAAAAATAGAAAAACTATGCCAATAGCTCTTGAACTCCAGTGTGCACTGATTCACTTCGATATTTGTTTAAAATCAAATACCCTAGACTCCACTATTTCTAAATTCATTACAGGCTGGGCAGAAGCCAAAAATATGCCTTCATAACAAGCTCTGCAAGAGATTTCGATGCAAATAGCTTACAGAAATCATGGCCTATGTTTAAAGCTATGTAAGTGTTATGGGCTGAATTGTGTTCCTCTAAAATTCATATGTTGAAGCTCTAACCCCCAATATTTCAGAATGTGACTGTATTTGGAGATAAAGCCTCTAAAGAGGTAATAAAATTAAAAAGATTGTTAGGGGAAACCCATTCCAATATGACTGGGGTCCTCATAAGAAGAGGAGATTAGGACACAGGCAGCACAGACAGAGGGACACCACGTGTGGACGTAGTGAGAAAGTGGCCACCTACAAGCAAATCAGAGAAGCCTCAGAAGAAACTTGCTGACACCTTGATCTGGGACTTTTAGACCCCAGAATTGAAAGAAAATAAATTTCTGTTATTTAGACCATTCAGTCTGTAGTATTTTACAATGGAAGCCCTAGTAGGTTTGTACAATAAACAGCATTTTGAAATGGAAATAATAGCTGATATGATGATTTGGTAATTACAAATGCTTCTAAAATGCTTTTTATTAAAGAAAAAGGGGCTAACCATAATAAAAGTGCTCATTTTTTCCTCTCATGAATAAGTAGGTGAAACTAACTAACAAGAGGGCATATACCGCTAAGATATTCCTCCTATGGGTGAAGTTCCCTACCACTAGTCTACTTCCCTGGGCTCCTTAACTTACCCAAAACGCAAGGAGAATAGGCCATATTTTTAGTATATGTATATTTTCCTACTAAAATATTCATTTCTTTCATTCATATTTACTTGTCTATCTATCTATCTATCTATCTATCTATCTATCTATCTATCTATCTATTCATGCATAGATCCAACTATTAATCTATTCATTAACTCATTCATTCATTCATCTATCCATCCATCCATTTAATCAATATTTATTGAACGTGTACCATGTACTAGATGTCATTTTAGTTGCTAAAAAACTACTTCTTATTGATGGGAAGATAAAAGCTCCCAAAAGTTCTAAATGAAAACCAGAAAATTTCATTTAAACAAACTCAAATGTCCTTAGGATGCATTCAGATAAGAACATATGAAATGGTCAAGTGAATTAGTACCTGAAAAGAGAAGTTACAATTCACCTTTAGAGAGTTCTAGGAATTTGATGGCCCAGTTTTGCCAAATTTTCCAATATTTTAAGAGAATCCATACATCTGTTTTCTTAATGTAAATTTTCCATTTTTTAATGCTGATGAAACAAACTGAACTCTTCACAAACACTACGTGAGCCAAATAAAACAGCTATTATGAAGACACCTCCACATCCCTATGGGCTATCAGTTCTCAGCTTCTGCTCAAAACTGAGGACACAGTGTTGCAAAAGTGCGGGGTTCTCCAATATCAGCTATCTTCATATCTGATTTCTGACGAAATCACAACTAAGTAATTTGGCTTTCAACTTATTATGGTTGTTGCACAGATGTTTTAGTGGCTGAAGAAACCTGAAACCTTCCCAATGTCTTCTCCATGGTCATGAAAGCATGACATACATTCAGGAGGCAAGGCAAGGTCTTCACCCAGGAAAGAAGGGGCAAAGGTCTGACACCACCTTCATCATGACCTTCTCTCACCTCTGCACAGCCCTGCAAGGGCACCAAGTATTGTTCGTAGTCTTTATAAGCTCACCAATCACTACCTGGTGTTAGTCACTGCAGTACCCATGCTCAATAAACGTTTGCTGAACTGAATATGAATGCACACATGTTGCTGTTCCGATTTAAAAGCTGGAGTGAAAATTGGTTGTTGCTGAAATAGTTCTCATATAGTTAAAATTTTGATCTTTAAGGTCATGGCTACATGACACCAAAATAACTAGTTCTTTTAGAAAATTATTAGGAAAAACAATCAGACAAATCACACTTGGGATGATACAGAGATAATCCAGGCAACTGCTGCCTTTCTAGCCAGGTCATGCCTTGCTCTCACTCTGATTTATTGCAGCCCAACAAGACAGGCAAATTGGCATAAAGATAGCACATCACACTTTGAATGACTTTTCTCTTTGAAGTTATGTCTCAGAGTTTGTATTATATACCACTAGTTGGTCCTGTTTTATTACACTAAAGTATAATTTGTAGATCTCATCTCTGTAGTTTAGCCATTAATATAGAGGAGTACTGGTCCTTTCTCTTAAATAAATGAAAAATTCACACATATCCTTAAAATATAGATGGCACTATTAACAAAAAATAAACAACCAACCAAAAAATATCCTCCTTGAAACCTGATTTTAAATCTTAAGTTTCAAAAAAATGTTTACTTAAATATAATTATTTGTTAAGTGTGGAGAATCCTAAGAAAAGTTATGCCATCATACAAATAAGTGTGAAAAATTATCATTCTACAAACATCACCTGCAAGTTTCATTCTTCATATTCATCATGGAGCACATAAAATACTTGTGGTGTGAAGTGCACCTGTGGTACTGTAAAAGTAACTCCTTAGGAAAAATGATGAGAACCCGAATGCTAACACATTGGATGCTGATGAAGTCTTTTTTTAAAATTCGAGATAGTTAATAAAACTGAAATATTTATTACATTTCACAAATGCTTCTGAACTTGAAACACCTACATGTATAATTAAATTGAAAGGGCATTCTAACTGGTAACCTCCACACTATGTCCTTTTCCATCAATGTTTATCTCCAAAAAGTGAAACCTATGGGTCAAGTGACTGTATTCTGGCTTATGAATGTCTTCATCCTTTCTCCCATAAGCTTCTGAAGGCTCACCTATTTTTTAAAATCATCTGGTTCACTCAACACAGACATCTTATCAAATGTAATGAATACATCTGGAAGTTCTGTCATAAATTTCACAGCATTACCAATCTGAATGTTCACAAAACTATCCTCACATACCAAGAAACCAACAACTTTATGACTAAAACCCAACTTGCTTAAACTTCTATAAAATATTCTAGTTACATGGTTGATTCCATTCTTTCTGATTCTATATGAAAATACAACTAAGTGTTTAACAAGTGGTATTTCTTTTCAATTTAAGTTTTTGCAAATCTCAGAAATTATTTAAAAGTTTCATGTGAAGTAAGTCAAGTGATGTAACTGGGCATTCTTAACTTTTCTTTGAAAACATAAGAGAATTAATATTTGCTTGACTAATTTCATGAACCCATTTCCTGATCCTGAGAACGGAAAGTTCTCACACCTCTTTAAAGAACTCTAGCTGAAGAAGGGATCTTCGTTCAGGCTGCATGTGAAAGAATAGTAAGGACAACACATTTCTAAATTTAACTTCTGGAATTTTTCAGTTAAATTTGACTTTCTAGATAAAAGTACGTCTTTACTATTGCAATAAATAAAGATAATGTTAAAAGGAAGATGAATGAAGTCATAAGATATCAAAGTCGTTAGAGAAGTTAAAACACATCTGGGGGTGGCATGGGGATTAATGAGGTAAGGTGCATGCGAGTCCCTACCTAAGTGGCTGGCACTCTGTAAGAACTTGGAGCTAAATGACCAAGTCTACGACTCTTACTATTCCGATAAGCAAACGGAGGCAGGAAAGACAAACTTAGCATGCATATATGCATGGAAGGACTTACCAAAAGTGTAAAGAAAATAACTGACTTGCAGTGCAGAGTAACCAAAGGACGTTCTCTGATACTACACGGTTTTAGTTACGTAATACAAAATTATTTTCGTACCCTTGTTTTAAAGGACTTGTCTAATATTCTCTTATGAATGGCTCTATTCTACTCCTGAAGATTTTATATCCTGGTTCCAAAAATAAAACTAAGTTGAGGAAAGGCATATCCCTAATCATTGCACTTCCATTATTTATTCTAAAAACATTTACTTAAAATTATTCCAGGGCTTGTCAATTTAATGGATTGGAAGCTCAAACCACATCACTTTAACAGACTCCCTCCACAGTGTCTCTTTGCTGTATCCTAGAAGCGTTGAGTCTGCTGTTTTCAGCACTAAGGAACTCTCTGAAAGCCAACCGCGCTGCTTCTGGCCGGACCTGAGGACATTTCTCTCCCCAGGAATTTTTACCTGTATTTTTTGTATGCCTGGGACTCAAATGAAGCACCAGCTGGATGAGGCGGGGCTGGCCATCCAGCAAGCACCTGTCACCCCTTTACCTGTTTGCAAGACCACAGTTCTCTCTTCTCCATCCAGAGCCACAATCCTGAAGTTATAGACGGTTCCCGCTTGTAAATCCTTGGGGTTACATTCATAGGTGGTGTTGTCTATCCTCCTGGGGTGGCACTTCGTGAACCCCGATGTGTCATTGATGTAGATGAAGCTGAAGTTACAGGGCGACCCCAGAGTTCTCCACTGGAGAGACGCGGCCCGGCTGGAGACCCCGGACTCGGTCACGGTGAAGTTACACCTCGCCGGCTCCCCCAGTCCGGTCTGCAAAGGAACCAGAGACAGCAGCTGAAGCCCGCAGCCTGGGCTCTGCCCGGGGACAGCTCCACCGCGAGCTCCCCGCGACGCCACTCAACCCTCCCCCCAGCCTCAGTACATCCCGGGGCGCACCCCGGGGGGAGGTGGGTGGCACCGGTCTCCCAGGGGCTCCTTCCCCAGAGCAGCAGGAGAAAAAAGTGGCTTTTTTCCTCGGACAGTCTGGCTGGAGGCTCAGAGGAGGATCTTTCTTCCCAGGGGAGAAAAAGAAACCCAGCCCCTTCCCTCCCCAAGACATAAGCGAGGAGACCAGAAAGTGGGTGCGTGGGAGTTGGGTCCTGCGGGTCGGGCACGGCGCGCGTCGGCCCGCGACCTCCCCGTCCACTCACCTGCAGC